GTTTTTCCGAAACAATTTTGTTTTTTGTTTTTCTTGGAACCAGTGCCTTTCTTCCTCCCGTTTACTTTCTTTCTTGTATTCTTAACAACCCCCAACGACATCGAATTATCACTTTTGTATGATACATTTGATGACATTCCAACCAATTCGGACATATTCTTATAACCAATACCTTTCATCCTCCTTACCAGACCAGTTTTGAAGTTATCGTTCTTCAGCCTGATGCCTCGAATGTCCATGGACTCCATATTAGTAGTTCTTAACCCTACATTCTGGCCTACTATAAAATAATACAAGGTGGCGAGAACATAAACACATATCGCTGTCTTCAGTACACGTTTCGCTAGTTTTTTAATGTTTTTACTGCTGATGATCATCGAAACGGTGTAACGTTTGTAAAATATTCAGTAATATCTCAGAAGAATCAGTTCTGAAAAAAAAACACATAAACTGCTGTAACATCAGTAATATTTTTGTAACGTTTTTTTTATTATGATTTAGTAGGTCTTTTTCAGAATATTTGTTGAAAATAAGTTAGAGTTCAGTCCAATTACGATAAGGAAAGTGTTTTATTTCTTCGACTACAAGTTTTAGAACTTTTACAAGTTTAACATAACTAGTGATAGTTGTAACTTCACATATAAATAATCCCTCATTAACAATTACACATTTTTGCTAATATTCCTCGTGCGAACGGTACTTCTTTGCAAACACAAAGATAAAATTTATAGCGCTAAACTAACTGGATCACTCAATAATCAATCAACAATTAATTTTTTTCTTACACTAGTTCTTATATTATCCACATCGTTTCCTAGACTTTCAAGAAAGTTCTAGTCATTAAGCCATGCGTTTATTACATGATGTTAAAAACTCTCTCTAGTCGAAAACACTGGAAATGCTTAAGTTAAAACAAAAAAAACGTAGCCTACAACACTAACGCTTCCATGAATTGTGGAGTCCCTTGAACAATTTTATTAGTCAAAGAAAACATGGTACACTAAACATAAACTTCCATAATTAATAAGAAGGTAATTATTCACAATTAACAATATTACAATTAAGAAATATAGACATTAGAATAATTAAATTATTCATTATGTCAAACAATCTACAATAATAATTTTGAGTAAAAATAAAACATTTCTTTATTTATTTACTGTCCCTAAACTATCCATTCATACATCGTTTAGTGGTTTTCTTTACCGTGTCTATTGGAGTATAGATGAGAAGACCTCTTACCATTTACCAAGAATTGTCGTTTTGTCACCAAGGTGAGTTGGTCGAGAGAGAAACCACTGGTGTTTACACCCAACTAAAGCATATTAGAACTTTGGACTCATTAGTATTATTTTCCTATGGTAAAATCTTCTTAAAAGCTGACCAATTAGTCCTTCTCTCGCTAATGTTCTTCCAAAGATGATCATCGTGGATGACCTTTGGATTAGAACTTCTGGATCTCTAAGCCACGTCACTCATTTTTTTTACTACAGTTTTGGGTACTTCCAAAAAATCTGCTTAACTTTGAAAATTGTGTTTTGTTATGAACATTAACATCACAACAACTTTTCATCTCATTGCTACCTTAGTTTTTCTCGAGTAAAGTCATGTACGGCATTGATGATGTTCATTAGTTTCTCAGCATATTTTGCTGAAGGGTAGTATGGAAACTATACACACGCCCTATAGGGCTATTTTCAAGAAAAACCGTCGTGGTGACATGGACTGTGACGACTTGGTGAAGCTCCAAAATAGTTTTTATAGTATCTATTCAACTATCCGTAATCCATCACACACAATATGTATTTATTCCCATACTGTGTCCTACTTCGTCTTTACATCCTCAACACAGTTCACACCAATCTCCTTCAGGGCAATAAGATCATTCCCCTATCTTCTCGTGTTACTTCTTCTCACCCAAGTGTGCAGCTATAGGAAAGTTGTGGAGGTGATAGTGTGTTTCTGACAATGGAACTTTAACTGATATTGTCATTTCTGTCTATTGGCATCTTTCAACACAAGTCTTCTACTAAACATAATGAATCCCACTTCTGGTTAGAATATATTGAGCAACTGTTTGTTGAGAAGGTTATTCCTGATCCGCTGCTAAACTAGTTTAAGACTCCTTTCTGTTCAGTAGATTGTTCAACAATAGTTTATCATCATCTGTAAATATCCAACACTGCATTCTTCTTTGTTGCACTTTAAGCTGGCTGTTTTCGTTATCTTGTATTTTCCCCTTTTCACAGATTTTACGTTCTTCGCGAATAAAATGTATTCAGGATAACGCATCAGCATTTCCGTGGTTACATTCAGAAAATGTAAGTCATTAAAGTTGTTTTCCTAAAGTTTCTGAAGCCACCTTTCTATCTGGCCTTCTGTATTGTGGAAATTCACCAACCACTTCAATGCTGCGTGACCTGTCCGGAATGTCAGTCACAGAGGTGGTGATGGAAATGAATCTGGGATCTAACACACTTGTTAGTTGTTTCCGAGTTGTACAATACTTCAATACTACAGAATTCGTTGTTTTGCAGTAACGTTTTTGTGTGTGTTGTACTTGTGATAATCTTGCTCCCACTATGAAAACAGTGACATTTGTATCTAATACGAGTGGAGTGGGTCTTCTATAGTTGAATACAGCAGTTATAGTGAAGTGTTCCATCAACTTACAGAATACATTTTTGCCAGTAGATTTTGAAGAGGACAAATTAAATAACAGCTCAATACGAGGAACACTCTTACCTTACGCAAGTTCTGTAACGTTGGCCAATTCTGAACAGATTCAAATTTGGTTGGGTTTTAAGATGTTATCTCTTCGCTAATTATGTGTCCCATGAAACTCGCCTGTTGACAGAATAATTCACACTTCTTGGGGAATTGGGGGTTCAGTTTAAGTTTCTCTTACCTCAACCGGTCCAGTACCCCCAACACAAATATCATAGATGGTCTTCCCATCTAACATCTGGTGTACTAAGTCATGCTAATGCTTATAGTCTTGTGGCTTAAGTCTTACAGTTCAAATATGACCAGTTAATCAATAACGTCTCTTTTTTTACGAAACTCTTCTCATTACGTAGTTATAACATGATTCATAGCTACATCACAATCGCCAAGCACCTCATTATGTATAATTCATGTATTATTCGTCATTAAATTTCTATGTTCTTTCATGCATTTCTATAGCCATCTGGTGGTAGAACCTATACAACTATAATTACATCTCAGATATTTAAATATCACATTAGACATTTTTGAATATCAAATTATATCATTATATTGAAATACTCCATTCTGTGTCCTGGTACTTTGTTTATTAAATTTCGGGCAAAGCTGCACGAGCTATCCCTAATTACGAAGTGATAGACAAGAGATTAGGTAGTTAATAACACCACCCACCACCAACTTTTACGCTACGAAAAGTAGATTTGTTTGTAATTAAGCACAAAGCTACACAATGGACTATCTGTGCTCTGCCCACCATGGGTATCGAAACCCGGATTCTAGCGTTGTAAGTCCGCAGACATACCGCTGTGCCACTGAGGGGCACGAAAAGTGGAACTAGCCATCACGTTATAACCTCCCACGGCTGAGAGGGCGTGTTCTGTGACGGGATTCGAGCTCACGACCAGCAGGTTAAGAGTCGATTGCCCTAACCACCAGGGCATGCTAAGCCTACTGGTATAAAACTACTGTTAAATCAATTTGTGGATTATGTTTGAGAAAAAAAGTCTGTTTAATTGGTTTCTCACGTCGTGTTTACTCGTATATCATAGTAATAAATTTAGTTTGT